GTGTTAAGATGTTCCATAGATGCTTGCGACTTGCCAGCTGTAGTCATCTGCTGACACTGACTGGAGCTGCAGTGTGGCCATGAGCTCTCTCTGTCTGGTGGCATGGTGATGCTTATAGAGTGCTGCGTGGGCGAGGCTCTTTGCTAGCTTTTCAGGAGACAGACGGAGAAGAAGACAAAAAGAAGGACAGAGCTGAGCGAGCCATGGAGATGAAGGTGTAGTTTGCTCTGTGTTCGCAGGGGATCCCACCCCACCGTCACATGCCTAACGGTGGCGTCCTGATATTTCTTGGAACACTGGAGAGATGTATCGCGTCCAATCTCAGATTGCATGGTGTTTCGGTTGTCACGCAACTGTCATGTGACATACAGCGCTCTCTCTTCTGCTCCCAAGTAGCGATGCGGGTTCGACACTGAATGATGTGTGGGAAAGTGTGCTGAACGAGCCTGCATAGGCCTATTGACAATAGTCCGTCTCTGGTAGGGCAGCTGGAGAAGAGATTAGAGCCTTTCAACGTGTTGAGGAACTTGTGCCGGAATGAGTGCACGGAATGAGGAGAAGGTGATAACACACCTCCATCCAGACAACATGTTGCTAGCAGCAAAGTTCAATAGAAGACTACAGATCTACCATGCCTGAGCTTCTGTTATACATTATGACAGGTTGATGCACTGCCGTATGTAGCCAGCTATATGTGTTGAGCGACCACGTGCACACCACAGTATAAAGTAAGGAAGCTCAGTTAGGACATGAGGTCCTCCACATGTGAATGTGAGCGTACCTTTCTTCCTGTGCCCCAAGTCTAGTGTGCCGAATGTACATGTGGTTTGTGTCCTTATGTTTATGCACTAGTCCTTCTGGCAGCATTCAGGCACTGCTAGTAGTTGGGCCATTCACCACTCACAGCACATGCTCTTCTCCCTCTCTTGTTCTGCCTGTGTCGATGTACCCCACCGTTATCATCCAGTCCCCGTGATCATAGTCCTATACTAGTCGCTCCTTTTCGCTACTGTCCTCTTGCCAGGTATGGTGTGGTTTGCCATTTTTCCCTCCGTGGCTGTACACAAAGCTATGCTAGAGGGACTTTGTCCAAGCTTAATTAATATTTGTACTACACTCTCCTCTCTTTTGCTTTCTAGGAAATGCTTTGCGTCAGTAGCGTAGCTGTTGTATGAAAGGGAAGGCTGGCTGAGTAAAGTTGGTGCTTTTGAAGGTATAATGCTTCAAACCAACTGCTGATTGAGGAACTACACAAAGATGGATGCGCTGGGTTTTCTGGGTATGGCTGGATGGTTGGGAGATCATATCTAGGTCAATGGAGGACATGGACCACAGCCTTGTTACTCCAATGGGAGACTGTTGTTATAGTATGCTCCCCTATATACAGTACGTACTACTGCATCATAGATTTCATTAGTGCTAGCTTCATTCCATAGCTGGCAATAGTAGCACTGCAACAGATATGTAGGAAGCAGTCATGATATTAGGTGAAATCCTTCAGTTAATTAGCGGACACTGGAAAGGTAAAGCCTGATACTCCTTCAAGCTACATGTCTGAGGCCTATCAGATCCTATGCCGGGTTAAATGGAAGAAGAAGATTGTGTCAAAAAGAATGGGAAGATTAGATACATATTGGGTGAATCTATATCGCTAGAGCCAAACTTCAAGCATACAATACTATTGCATGGATCCATCTCTGAAAAGCAATAGCTTATCCTGAGACATGTTCTTCCCCCTGAATACTAAAACTCTTGGTTCTCTAAAACACGGTGCAACCCACCACCTCTCGCAAACAGGCACACTGTATGCTGGGAAGTAAGTATATACCACCAAGGAAGCATAGTATTTTCTTTCCTATTACTGCGGAAGTAGTAGATCAGAAAGGCCCGCGTAATTAATGATACATCCTGTATGCTTCAATAAATAGTTCAACGCAGATTACGAAGATGGTCATGTTATTCTTCTTAGCTCATTTGCCAATAACTAGCAAATTCCTAGTTGTCCCATACCTAGAGCTCTCATAGCTGACAAGAATTTTTTGTTTGCAAAGTTCATTGGGGTAGAGGAAAATTAAAGTACAGATGAATCTCTTGTGGCACTTCCCCCTATCCTGTACGTCCCAGGCACACTGTCACGAGAATATGCACCTCCTGTCAATGATCTGTCTTCTCACTCTCTAGCTAACACTTGTCCCTCTCTAATATTCCTGTTGGGATCAGGACTTGGCCCTCTGAACGAATGAGGTATTCTAAGTTGCTTGTGGATATTGTCATTATGTACACTAGGGCACTGTCTATTATGTTCATGGCCACGCTGTTGTCTAGGAGCCTACATACACTACAGAAACCTTTGGACAAAATCTATACATACAAAAATCATGGCACAATATTTTGAAATAACCAAGATATAATATAACTCACACTGTACTTTCAGGTAATGGAGGGGAGTGTGTGTTTGTTGAAGGACCACATTGTGGTCGTTTGCAGCCATGCCAGCAAAATTGGCTGTGTATATACTAGTAGGATGCACTGCTGTTTGTTGTACCAATGCGGAACATGTCAGGCATATAAGTCACATAGCAATGAGCTTTATACAGAGTTTTGATGGGTCACACAGCGATTTTATGAAAGTCCAAAATTTGGTTGGCTCTTTCTGCTTGGGCCGCTGGCCATTACTTCCATTTCCCTCTCTATACATAATATGTGGCATTGTTACAGATGAGGGAGTTCTTGCTACTGGAGGCTCTCTCTTCAGTCCCTGGTTCCCAGGAGTACTGGATTAGTTCTTACCTCTATTAATATCCTCATGACCCTGAAATCCTTTATCCTGACCCATACTCACAACAGTGACTCTCTATGTAGTATGATAGTGGTAGCGAGGTAGTAACCTATAGGAAGTGTTGGTGGGTGCTGCACTGGGGGGCTGTGGATAGTCAGTCACTCAGACAACAGCCTGTCGTACTTTGCCGTACAGTAAAACAGTTTGCCACCAAAAAAAATCTGCATGAAGTTCAGCGAAGTTCACACATGGAGTTGCTAGCATGCTTGCAGTCACCGGCCAACCACATCTAAAAATGGTTCTCTTTTAGCAAAGCGTCCCTTTCGACAATTTGTGAAAAGGTTTTGTTAAACAAAATACTGTAAGTATTATGTCACTGAAGCCAGCAGTCTTGCCTGTGATGCCAGTCCATCACCAGAGGCAAGTGCAACACTTGCTGTGATGGTACGCTGAAGTCATACTGATCTAGCTGGGATACAAGTTGGTGATATCACCCCAGGCATTCTGCAGCTGATGCTCAGTCTTGTGATGTCGCTCTTTTAGAACTTTCCTTGTTATGTTCCTTGATATTATGATCTTGTGATGTCACTGGTAAAAGGCTTGTCTCAGGTATCAGGGTCTTGAATGGATTATCAGTGTTTACAAACTAATCTGGATATCTGGGAAATGAGACACTTCCTGCGCTGGCTGGCACACAGGAGGTTGGGGTTCAGCCGCTTTCCACTGTTTCTGATATGCAATGCACCAATCATCCACTCTGTGTTTTGGTGGCATATTTGAATATCCTCTTGAGGCCAGAAGGGGAGGAAGTGGTGTAATTGTAAGCCACCAGTACATCCTGTCCAGATCTCCCCCAGTCATAAGCTTAGTGTCCACAGCTGCCTTCCAGTATTAGCCCTTTTCACTAAAGTCATCACTTGCTCCTGTGTGTGTGTGTTTCTGGTTGAAATTCACTCTCTCCAGTCCTGTCCTTCACGGGTTCCAGTCTTTTTTTGGTCCTGGAAGGTCTAGTCACCACATTCTCTCTCTTGTGGTTGAGACAGGAAGTGACCTTGTGACCACGCCTACTCGTTTACTCCTGAAGCGAAGTCACCAGGCTGTAAGTTGGTGACAACTGCCCAGATCAATGTATGTAAACAGCTAGACTAGCCCCTTTAATTGACAGGAATTTGGTCAAGCTGCCCAGAAAGGTGTTGTCCTAGTCCCGATTAATTTCTTGACATTATACCGACAAAGAACAGAAGTAATTGGTGTAGTTGGTGTGTGGTCAGTCCTAGCTTGACATGTAATGGCATTTCCCTTACACAAGACCTTGTGATTATGCTTTGCTATGAATGTTGTCAATGTTGTCTTCCCTCGCCCTAATGTTGACCTTCATTATTCAGTAGACCAAAGCCACTTCCTACAGTTTGTTTACCTTCTTTGGCTCTTTATTTATGTCACAATACCACCACATTGATCATTTTGAAATGCCCTTTTTTGGTATATTGCACTCTTCCTTTACCCCTGGACTTAGTGTGTAGTACTTAGCTGGTTGTGCTCCAATTACCACTATCTAATAGAGGTGCATGTCTCTGTGTGCCACTCAGATTCACCCAGCTATTACAGGTAGTCCAGCCAGCAGAAAGCCAGGGGTCAGAGTACACTCTAGCTTGCCATATTACATGTGTCATGTGTCGGATAGCGCTATAAATAGAAGCCAGTACCCTGGGCCTCGTATGTTCATCACAGGCTGGCCTGTCGCTCCTGTTGGTACACCAGCCAGGTTTTGTTTGCACACAGACCACTAGCCTGCACACACACACACAGAAACTTGTGCACGAAAATCTTGAGTGTTTTGCTGGAATTTCGAGTCTTGTGACAAGTATGATGAATGGTTTTGCTCTCCATTTGGTACGAATTTAGTGTCATGTGCTCAAGTATTCTCGATAGTGATGCTGGTACTGTGAATAAACATCCACGCAACAGCGAGGGGGTGAAATTACACAACAAAATGATCATATGGACAGGTGTTATAGTTTAGCCAGATGGAAGTTGGGATTGGGTGAACTGGGCAGTGGCATTATGCAAGCATGAGCTAAGGTCTGGAGACATCTGGCTGGCTCCTATCTCAGTGATCTTTCTGAAGTTAGAGATATTCATTGTTGCTGACTTCAGTAGATACACACTATTGTAGTGTAGACTCTGAGGACATAGGAGAGGTCAAAGTTCCAGTTTGTGTCAGTACTGGGAGTCATGGGGTGTGTGGTGTCCATCTGTGCTAGTATGTATTTTGAACACTCTTTTCCTCTGCTAGAGCTGTAAGTAGGCAATACGTTTTCAGAAGCTGCCCAGAAAGGTGTGTTGTTATTACTAGCAACAGGAAGAACTTTGCAAACTTCGTTACATCTTGATCATATTCACATCATTCTGCAAGTCTCCCAAGAGTGTGATGTACATTCACTTATCCCCAGTAGTATCTCTGAGGCAACAGACTGCCCACCTCAACAGAGCTTCTCCCCTGAGACGCGACTCGCCCACGCGATTGGCCCCAGTGACGCTTTTAGAGCCTTTTGAGTATTTCCGTTGTCCGTCTTCTACCGGATATCGGCTAGCCACGGTTTGAGTTATGCAAACCAGGCCGGCTGGCCCGGCGCCGCTTCGCGCACCTATAAAAACCCGAATTTGCGCGGAGGACGGGAAAGTTTTGCGAAGTTGCTTGAGCAGCACTTGGTATATAGTGTTTTCTTCGAATATTATGGCCCTTACCCTGAAGGACTATCTGGACAGACCTTTGGACGATTACTGCAGCGAGATACTGTCGGAGTGGCACAACAACTGCATCAACCAGACGAGCTTCGATATCCCAATTGCAAGTAGGTAGCGGTTCTTCGGCGAGCAGCAGCCAGCTCCGCGGACCTTTGCTGCTGTTTTTCGTGTAGTTCAATGTCGTAGTTCGTCTGTACGCGACTGGTGGCTGGGGGCGGCGACAGTCAAAGCTTGTTTGGCTGTTGTGTTGCGTGTGTTTGTACGCGTAGAGCTGGCGCTCCGTGTGTATAGGACCTAGTCGTATACATGTGCGATCGCGAGCGACCCGTGCACGAACTAGCAATATTGGATTATGCCTTTTCTTTCTTCCTTCCTTTTGCAGTCCTGGAGCGACCGGCAGAGTCGACAGCTGAGCCAAGCCCAACCTACCAGACCACAGGACCGTTCCCAGACTCCGCGGAGAGCAGGGCAGTCGCTGGCAGCACCGTCAAGTTCCTGCACCAGACCCAACTACCAGCTAGTGAGTTTACCTCATCACCACGCACAGTAACACAACACTTCACACGTATTTTGCCCCTTACTTGCTACTCCAGCCTGGTCCCAACTAGGGCCCGATGTCCCTATTAGGACTGCCTGCGTGTGAGCCTGGGAGTTGTAGATAGACAGGAATGTGTGTAAAGTGGAGTGCAAAGTTGTTAATAGCATGGCTGTGTTCTGTGCCGTGTGTGGAATGCTGCAAATTTGACTGATAGGCCCCAGGTATGTTTGTAGAATGGGCCATTGTTATCTGCCAGCTCTGTTATGTGGTGAGACAATAGACCAGGCCTATCTCTGGGGAGGTATGGGTGCCCTAGTTAGTACACTTCTGCCTTTGTCCCCTTGCCTCTTTGTCAATTAGACATTTTCCCCAAGGCCTGACTGACCTGGGTGGGGGAGACTCTGGTATAAGCACTCCTCCTGAGCTAGGCATTACCTGAGGCCAAACAGGGGCCAGCCTTTTGTCAGGGCTTGCTGTGGTGTGGGCTGAGTGCACTAATCACCACCTAATAATGTCTGATAAGCAACAGGTGGACTCAGCCTCTGTGACTGTCTCACTTGTCAGGCCTCCTAGTCAGTGTATATTTACACTGGAACTTAAGCCCACATGTGGAGGTGGCCACTAGAGATTCCTTCAGGGGTCAGGGTTGAATTGTGAAGGTTTTGGTGCTGGTTACCTTAGAAACACTCTGAGATCAGGGTCCTGTGTGAATGGGGTGAAAGGTGTGGGTAGTCCAGAGGTTGGTATATGTAGTGAAGTGATTCTACTTCTTGTCAACCTTTGCTAAGTGTTACATAGGCAAGCAGCTTTCTGTCTGCTACATAATGTTGTCCAATTAAGCATGAAAGCATATCACATGCTGCACCCCTGTGCACCTTTGTTTCTAGCCAGGTCTTCAATCACCAGTGGTATGCCTGATTACCACCCTGCCTTGCCTTAGGTTGGAACTGTGGTGTCATGTCCCTGAGTTAATCAGGACAAAAGCCTGGTGCCCCTGGCCTGGGACTCTGTGGTCCAGTGTCAAAAGTACCACAACTTGCCTCTGTGTAAACCTTGTGGCCACCTTTATTGGTCTCAATTACCAGTGTGGTCCTGCAAATGTGTTTCTGGCTAAGTCAATCACCCCCTCTTTACCTCTCCCTCTCTCTCCTCTCCCTCTCTCTCTCCTCTTCCAGTTCCCTCCCAGTGGACAGAAGACCAGGTGTGTCAGTGGGCAGAGTGGGCAGCCAAGGAATTCCAGATCTCCTCACTCAATCTCCAGAGTTTTCGAGGTCTCTCAGGCCAGCAGCTCAGCTCTCTCTCCCTCTCAGAGCTGGACTCCAGGACGTCAGCCGAGTACGGTAGCACCCTCTACTATTTCCTCCAGACCCTCAAATCTCTCAGCTCTGGTGAGTCCTCTTACCACCACCTGTCTTTCCTCTTCCAACAGTTGATATGCCAGCTGTATTTGATGGCTAACAGTGGACTGTGTTGAAGTGTATCCTCTGCTCTCCACACACACAGGTCCTCCTCCAGACTTCAGCACTGGTGTGTCTGGTGGCAATTTCCACAACTTTGAGCTTCCGTTTGAGCCGGTTCCACCCATCATGAGCGAAGGCAGCCTCTCCAGCCCTGCCCAGGGTGAGCAGCTAGTATATAGCTGTCCCTGCCATTACTAGCAGTGGTGCATGTTAATAGCGTGCTCTTGCCTCGTGACAGAGGGGTGCCAGTGCACTCAGATTCTCACTGATACACATACGTTGTATGTTGTCCAAGTGTTCCGTAGATATTTACCCTCCCTCTCTTCCTCTCCAGCTCCCACCATAGCCATCCACAACCCCATGATGCCAATGATGGACGACTTCACCGCGCATTGCATGGCACACGCCATGCACCACAACGCACCCAACCAGCTCCTCCTCCCTCCTCCTCCCTACACCCACCGGCCAGCCAGCCCCCACTCCGACACTCCATACTCTTCCCCCACCAGCTCCCCTCTCCACTCCCCTTACCTTTCCCCCTGCCCCTCGCCTGGGGCCTCCCCCTGCCCCTCCCCCACCCCACAGCTCCGCGCTCCCTCTGCCCCTACTTGTAAGTCCTCTACTTCCAAATTATCTCCACCACCATACCTACAATGTAACTCACAGGTGCCTTTTTATAATTGAATGTGTCATTTAGTGTTTAAACACAGTTTTTGTTAGTACACAAGGTCACTTTTGTTTCTGATTTCACTTACATTTTCCTGTTCTCCTATGTGTGTTCACAGCTGGCTCGGGTCCGATACAGCTGTGGCAGTTTCTACTGGAGCTTCTCACGGATCGCGAGTGTCAGAACTGCATCTCGTGGACCGGACGAGAGTGGGAGTTCAAGCTCATCGACCCCGAGGAGGTGGCGCGGCGGTGGGGCTCCCGCAAGAATAAGCCCAAGATGAACTACGAGAAACTGAGTCGGGGCCTCCGCTACTACTACGACAAGAACATCATCCACAAGGTCCCAGGGAAACGCTATGTCTACCGCTTCGTGTGCGACCTCGAGTCGATGCTTGGCATGTCGTTTGCCGAACTGCAGGGCCAGTTGAAGAGTGACCAACGCGGCGGGCACCAGGAGCTCCCCAAACCCATCAAGATCGAGAAACAGCAGCACTCGTCTGGAATGTGCTCGCTGGGTGGAGGAATGCCCACAATGTACGGACCCCCGTCACCCAATTTCAGCGTTGATCTGCGCAACCTTCATCTGAACTCGAGCCCCATCCCGTCTCCCCAGCCCTCCCCCTACTCCACCTCTCCAGCTCTGTCTAGCTCCCCCGTCAACATGCACCTGATGGGCAGTTTTCCTCCCTCTGACTTCATGAACTAGCCAGCCCTTAGCCCTCTTGGCTTGCCAGCCCCACCGTTCTAACCACTGACTACCTGTATATATTATGTACTGGCCTCTGTTGTGTCTTCGCTGTGTATTACACCACCCTTCTGTACTATTGCTCCCTCAAAGCACTTCACTCACACCTACCACCTTGGTTCGGCTGTATATTGCTACTTTTGCTCTAATGTTATGTGTGATTCACCTGCTTTATATATAGTGTAATGTTATGATCATTTTTTTAAAGAGTAATGGCTAGGGAATTTTTTTAGTTTTTCTTCACAGCAAAAAGACAATGATTTACACTACGCATTCATCTCTCTCGTGTAATGATGCTATCATAATCTATTACATCACCTTTACAACATTCATCTCTGCAACTGTGTACACATGTATAATGTTGACCTATATATTTTTCTACCAATGAAAGTGCGGGGTGCTATATACGGGTGGACTTTGTATTAGACCGCCCATGCGCAGGCCATGGTCGGACGCGTTATGACGTAAATACTGCGCGCTTACGTGCGCATGCGCAATAAAAAGGCAAGCGTCCAGCTAGCTATCTCTCCAGCAGTCTAGTCGGAGATTTTGCAAGAAGTGAGCCAGTTTCGAGAAAGAGAAGAATGCCGCTCTACTACTGCCGTGCTGTCCTGGGGATATTCCTACTGTACTACTGCGTACAGGGTTAGTATATACGAGTATATTATAGCGACGGAGCTTCTGCAGGTTTGCCTCCGCGCAAAAACTTATTGTGCAGTGCATAGTTATAGCTATTCAGTAAGGGTCAAGGTGGTGTGCTTGATTTTCAACGCTAGCTAGCTGGCTGTTTTCTCAATATAATATGGACTGACCTGCCTTGCCCCAATCCTGTGCGAAATCCTCAAGTAACGGCAATGTTGCCTATTGCTGTATGTGGAAGATTCTTGATCGGTTCACGTAATACCATACAGGTGACCCAATGTGTGATCATAGTGAGAGCTGCAATATCAACAAGAGCAAGCATGTCCTCAATGATTCCAATGAGGCGACGGCTCAGTACCAGCAGCCCGAAGTGGCCACAGTCGAGAGTGGGTCCCCTCACTGGAAGACAGTCTACATCATCTCCATCAGTACCGTGGTGTCATTCATACTCCTACTGATTGCTGTGGTGGCTCTGGTGGCTGTTTGTGTGTACAGGTTTGGTATAATATGTTACTCTCTGTCTTTCTAACATTTGCCTCTGGGGCATCAGTACGCCCATAATGACAAGCTGAGCTTTGAGTCACAGACCAAAAATAGGCAGTTTCTCTTCTAAAATGTTTTGAGCAGATACTTAAAGCACTAGCTCTGCAACCCTTCAACTACTCAGTAGTCAGTGGACAGCAACGATTATAGTGATGGGGATTGTGTGGTGCCTGTCCTTTTCCCCCTAACAGGGCAGCGAAGTCCAGAGCACGCCACGGAAGACCAGAGGACTATGCACCAGTGGATAACCTGGAGATTGAGAGTTTCCACTCCATTCCCTACAGACGAGACGGTCTACCAGAGTGCCCCATCAGCCTGTACACTGGTGAGAGGTGTTTGGTTCTACATCCACACGTTTGTGAGGGCCTACATTATACCAGCAGTCTGTTCCTTAGCCCTTCCACAATGTATGTTGTGCTGTAGCTCGCTACAGGGGATGTGTGTGTGTCGTGAAACACCAGAGATGGTTGCAATAACACACTGGACGTCTGTCTATGTCTCTACTTCACTGTACACTGTATATGGACACAGGAACACGAAACATTGGTCTACCGTAGACTTCACAATGGCATCTGGCTTCCACTAATGTGTGCTTTCCACTCATGTATTGATTATGCACACTTCACATTGATTCAAGTATGTTGACGCACTGTCTGTCTGTCTCTCACACCAGATGGTGGCCAGGGACCAAGAAGGAAGAGCAGACTGGCCATCACGTGGCCTCCCTTCCGCCTGAGAACTCGCCCCGCCTCATCTCTCACCTCCTCCCTCTCCTCCTCCGCCTCCTCCCCCTCCCCCAACATGACCTGGTACTACAGCAGGGGTGAACCGCTCCCCGTCCTCCCCTCCTCCTCCACATCCATTGATGGTGGACGTGACGAGACCTGTGGACTGTCTCACTCTCAGGAACACCTCGTGAGCCTCTCTCTGTCAACTTAGTGTTTTCCTCTAGGTACGAGTAAGTGTGTTTAATTCAGGTTCTGAATGAAAGGCATTGGTTAAGATAATTATTCGTACCCGTACTTGATGGTTACAAATGAAGTGCATGCTTAGGTTTTTGTTTAGCCTAGAACAAAAGCTGCCCCAGTGTAGCGATTACTAGGGTGTCATTAATATGTCATTAATAGTTACTGAACTTTTAACACTCAGCATACACATTATCCTGTATTCCCAAATATCCAGCAGGCAAGGAAGAGATGGGGGATGATGGTGACTGAAGATGGCTGGATGAGAGGGAAGGAGGGAGAGGTAGAGGGAGGGAAGGAGGTGGTGGTGAGCGACGCTGTGTCTGTGGACCAGTTCAAGGAGACAGTGGCCAGCAAATACCAGGATTCCATGCTTGGGTTTCACACAGAGTTCATGGTCAGTTAGTCTGGAGCCGAAACTGCCCAGTTTTCAAGTCAAATGTAGGATAGTTCCCTAAACTATAAGAGAGATATATAGGCAAAACCACATGGGTTTTGTTACATGTCCCTCACAACAGTACAGGCCCAGTAGTACGTGTGTTGATGTGTCTATATATTATATCCAGAGTCTGTACAGTGGGACAGACAAGAGTGTGACTGTGGCACGGACACGAGAGAACCGGTCCAAGAATTGCTTCTCCAACTTCTACCCTTGTGAGTGACACACTAACCACTATATATAGCACTCTTAACTATTCCTGCGTCATCAATGGCCATACTTCCAGTTACTAAACACCCCACTTTCAGTACACAGTGTAAAGTGTTGACTATAGCAAGCCATTATTATCTGCTAATGTTATATATACATTGAAGGGACCCAGGGGCAACACAAGTGTCTACGTGTCTCCCTAATTCTGTTTGTGTGTCTGTTGTGTTGCAGATGATGATTATCGTGTGGTACTCCAGCCAGTCCCAGTCTACGGCCACAAGACCATCAACAGCGAGCACAGCGACTACATCAACGCCAGCTACATTGACGTGAGTCACCACCGGAGCCACCTGTCTGTATGCTATGTGTATGTATTTACATGTGTATGTACGTATAATAAGACACTGATTGTTGAAGGTTTGCTTAGTCTAACAAGAACTGCAGTGTTTCCTGTATCTCACATATTCAGGGGTTTTCAAGACCAAGAAAGTTTATCACCACACAAGGTACATATGTACCTGTATTTTGACCTACTTATTGCACCTTAGTATTCAGTTAAATGTGGCTTTTGGCCGAAAGTACAATGTGAGCACTAAACTTCTGCAACTTTACGTGAGTAGGTGTGATAGTAAAATTATCATGCAATTCAGACAACTAGGTGAGCTTGCCTTGCTCGCCAATACTGGGTTTACCAATGATGTTGACAACAGTTCACCTCTAGTGTTCCTCAAGCTATCTCTGTCCCCCTCTCTCTCTCTCTCTCTGTCCAGTGCCCCTGCCCCACACGGTGGTAGACTTCTGGCAGATGGTGTGGCAGGAGAAGGCGGCCTGCCTCGTCCTCCTATCTCTGGGCAAGGAAGAGGGGCGTGGCAGTCCGGGGGAACGCTACTGTTCAGATGACGTGGGTACCTGGTGCATCGGACCATTCCTGGTCTCCACTACTGCCAAGACACAGTGTGCCCACCACACTATACGACACATATCAGTACAGGTGTGACACAGTGTGCCCACCACACTATAACGACATATCAGTACAGGTGTGACACAGTGTCCCCACCACACTATACTGAATACATATCAGTACACGCAGTGTGGACACAGTGGTGCCCACCACACTATACGATATCATAGTACAGTGCACCAGTGTGTGTGACACAGGTGTGCCCACCACACTATAACTGACACATATCACATCGCACTGCTGCACTGCTAACTGGGGTGTACCCCCACCAGCTTCCTGACCTCTACATATCATGACTGGTGATGCATACTAAACAGCAGTGGCCTATGGCAGAAAGTTTATGGGTGGATCTGTATAACATTTTAGGTGCGTATAAGTTGCTCCAACATATCAAAAACATTGTGTTGTATATACATTAATTATGGTGTACACAGAACGACGTAAGCAAAACTGGTGGCTTTCTTCAACGGGTTACCTCAGATTATTTCATCCGTGCACCTCACTCCCGATCTCATGCCTGGTACGTAGACTGAAAGAATGGACAAGAGGTCATAGAGCCAGAAAGAGAGGAAGAAGGAAGAGAAATCAGCTCTGGGTTCAAACCCACCACCTCATGCTTCCTGGGCCAGTGCATGAGATCTTGGTCCTATAATGCAGAAAGCATACTACACTCGTTCTTGACTAGAGGCTATGGCATATCGATCCCACAGGTGCCGGGCAGTGCTCCAGTGGAGGTGTGTCAGCTGCAGCTCACCAACCTCTCTCGACAGAGTGTGCACTACGTGGCCTCCACTCTCCTGGCCTTCCACCGCAGGTTCTCCGAGTCCTGTCCCACGCTCTCCACCAAACCCACCGTCGTCCACTGCAGGTACGTAGTGTAGACATGTAGACTACCTACCTACACAACACCATTTGTAAAGTTGACTCTGGTGTTTGTATATATATAACACAAGGCCATAATGCTATTCCAACTGCACATTGTGCATTTCCACTGAAGAGAGCTGCATTTTGATATTGACTAGTTATTAAAACATGGTGTACCCTGGTGAAAAATGCATCTTCTTTACAATCTCGACCTTCATTTCTTCTCTACCTTTCACTGCCCTCTTCCACCTTAAAACCACTGCTGATTTGTGTGCAAATGCTCAGATGGCACAGTCGCGTAACACTTAACCGCCGCGTACCCATAAAATTAATGTGTCCAGAGCCTCCGTAAGTCCATAAGAATTTATATGGGGTCATAATACTCGGTGCTAATACTTTATACATATATGTGCTTATTGAAGCAGATACCCATGGCGTCCAAAGGGTCATACTCATACATGCTGCTATGATTTCCTCCTCTTCCCTCTCCCTCCCTCTCAGTACTGGTACAGGTCTGAGTGGAGTGTTTGTGGCAGTGGACCGACTCATAGAGGAGATGTGGGCGGGGCAAGGGGGTGGAGTCAATGTGTGGGGTGTGGTCAACTCACTACGTCGGCAGAGACCCAGGATGGTGGCTACCTTGGTCTGTATACTCTCTTGCAACTCTCTCTAAGGGGCCTAGGTTTTATTATAGGAATACGAAATCTTCAATGTACATTTTTTTTAAAGTAAAATTTCTTGCTATAATTATGTCCAACAGTTAAGAAAGAGACTATGGTGCCATCTGTACTGTGTATGCATGGAGTCACACCTGCAAGGGTAGTTAGAGAGGGAGATTTGAAGTTTGCTTCTGACATGTCTATGCTAGCCTGGTATAATTATACAGTGTCTGATGTGTGGTATTTATTGGTACACAGGAGCAGTATGTCCTTGTCCATGAGGTGATACTGGAGATGGTTAAATGGGGCTGCACTGAGATACCAGCCTGTGAACTGACCAATGCCAACACTGACTTTGGTCTGGAGGGAGAGGGGGAGGGAGAAAGTGTTCTGGAGAAACTCTACAAGGTGAGACGGTTTGATAAACCAATTTGAGACTTTCTGTAAACTGTCAAAGATTTCTGGTTGACCTGATTTCTTTGCTTGATCTAGAGCAACAAGTTACTTTCTGTGATTATAAATGGTCTACATAGGTTTCTTGGTGACTGTCTTCTGCCTTCTATAGGCTGCAGGTCCAGTCAAACCTGACCCAGGCAGAGAGGAAGAACAGGGTGCAGGTAGAGGAGGCTGCTTGCCTTGTGCCCACCCTCTGTGGATCTCACACTCTGCCAGAGGTAGTCTATGTGGCTACTGGACAGTTGTCCCCAATGAAAAACAGACACTGCATCTTTTTGCTTCACTTTAGCTCTTAAAAAACCCACGGCAGACGGGAATATATGTGTGTGTGTGTCTAGATAGACCACTCTTGTCTCTGCAGGGATCCTGGCACAGAGCAGGACCGTCCCCTACCATCGTCCCATCAGCATCTCGGTATGTCACACAGACTTATATCACCATCATCCTTACATCGAAAACACTCTCCCCCTCTCCCCTCCCTCCCTCTCACCCAGAGCTACTGGCCAGGCAGTGGTTGGCTGGTGACCCGCAGTCCCTCTCGTTCCTCTGTGAGTCAGTTCTGGAGAGCTGTCGTGAACAAGAAATGCAGCATCGTCATCGACTTCTCTTCCAAAAACAAGGTCAGCCTCTCCCATGTGGTCTATTCAATACGAACATGTATGCTGTACACACATGTTAACACTACCTATGGCAATGGAACACACCAAATAATAGGTATATATAACATCCTCGTGAGTATGGCTGGTACCACACTCTGAATGTTCAGCCGTTTAGCCCTATTTACATTTACATTGGACAAGTCTGATTCTATGACCTCACTTTGAAAAGCCGCTGACTGTGATGTTCACGTAGGATCGATACCAGTACTGGCCTGACGGTGTGTCGTCTGCCACGCTGATAGCTGGACAGTACGCAATCCACAGAGGGAGGGAGGAAGGAGGAGAGGGGAGGGCCACTGGAGACCTCAAGACCACATCTCTCACTATTGAGAACCTCCTGGTATTGAGTGTGTGTCTGTGTATGTGCGGATTTGGAGATGGAAAATAAAAATAATACTGAATGGTTGGGAGGAGTATTATCTACTTTCAGAATAAATTTGGTAGAGTAGGCCTTCAGTCCTCTTTTCTTTTTCTTTTTCTTCTAAAAATTATTTTATTTCCATGCTAGAACAAGACAATCTAAATAAACCTGCTCTAAATACATGAATAAAAGGATGGTCAATGTTGATGAGAGATGTTCAACCATTCCTCTCTCTCTCTCTCTCTCTCTCTCGCTCTAGTCTGGGCAGACTCACATCGTGACACAGTTGGTGGTGGTGGAGTGGACTGGAGAGGTGACAGTCCAGATGTGTGGAGCTGTGGACACCATTCTGAGAGCCCAGAACTCCACCACACACACCCCTGTCCTCCTCCACTGCAAGTACGATACATAGAGCACCGTCCCTGTAGCTATTTAGAACACGGCGACTGCGAGATTTCCATTTTGAAACTGTACTGACTTTGACACAAATCCCCAATGAAAGAGGTGGTGCTCTACCATTGTGTATAATGTGGACCTGTGGTTTGTATGCAGATTCACCAAGTGCCTCATGCTGACACTATTGACCCATATGTATATAACAGAATAATGAACCCCAAAATTCCTAGTTTTGGCATACACAGTCACACACACACACACAGTCACACGTATAATATTATACTGCTCTTCTCTCTCTGGTCTCTGCGTGTGGTGACTGTATATAGTGATGGAGTGAGTGAGGTGGGAGTGGTGAGTGTGGTGAGTGTGGCAGTGGAGCAGGGAGTGGCAGAGGGTCTGGTGGACATCCCCTGTGCCATCAGGAAGATCAGGACACTGCTACCAACTGCCATCGCCTCCCTCGTGAGTACACTGAGCCCTGTCACGTACATACAGAAAAGGTCTTGGCTCTCTGCTAGAGGTGTGAAATGGAAGG